TAATATATTTAAATAACATATAATTTTTACATTTACATTCTAAAAAAACATATATAGATTTTCATTCTCTAAAATATCAAAACAACATTTATATTTTTATATTCACAGTTTAATTAAATTATATATAGTCAACCTAATAGTATCATCTTAATATATATATATATATATATATATATATATATATATATATATATATATATATATATATATATATATATATAAACATCAAACCTGTAATAAAATCATTTATAAACATATTTTTCTTATAATTTAACAATTTCATTTGTAATAAATCAAATCTGAGTTTGTAATGATATGTTCACGGGTTAACATATCATATATGTACAAAATAACAAAGATTAAGATGAAGTTTGTTTTAAATGTTTTTGTAACAGTGCGTTTTATTTTTATTTAAACATTATAAAACACAATGCATCTTTCGTTAAAAATTGTAATAAGTTTCAAAATAAAATACCTTCTATTACTTCGTTTATTTTGACTTTTGACTTTTACCCTCCATGTAGGTTTTTGCTTTTGAAGAAATGATTTTGGAAGCACTTTGTTTTTCCATTTCGACGTTTTTGGTTGTTAAATGTTGTGAGTTTATTGTCAAAATGTCGATTTGAGATTTGAATGTAACGACCCCGTTTTTCAAAGAAAAATTTTCATTTTTGATTATCCAAACACATTTCAATAAATTACAAAATTCCATATATAATTTTTTTCAAACTCATATCAGTCACAACCTCTATTTAAAATATCAGAGTGTCCCATAAAACTCCTATGTGAGTGTGCACACCGCGCCATCAAGCCTTGCCCTTGCCCTTGGGATCCAATGTACCTTAAGCAAATCCACAACATGTAAGCTAATGCTTAGTGAGTTACTCATAGCATACCCCACACATAATCCACGTAACACATATCATATTAGCTATGTAGCCACATGAACCACATAATCCATGCATACATAAACTTGGAAGGATGTCGTGGGCTCCCCCAGGGTCTTACACCTTCGTGTCATGGGCTACCCCACATGGTCATTACCTGGAATGCCATGGGGTACCCCACATGGTCTTATACCCAACTACCACGGGCTCTCCCCGAGGTCTTTCATGCAATAACATACATAATCAACTTAGCATATCATATCACAAAAGTGTCTAACATACTACATCCACGTAGGCAAAACACCGACCCGAAAGTTTCTATTTGTCGAGCTCTCTGCTGCCCCATGGCTTTGCCAAAAACTCCTAGATACTAGAGAAATTTGATCTTAAAATATTATATAAATGCAAAGAAAAATATTGTAGGTGTGAGGAAGGAGGTTCTTGCAGTTGCTATATATAGACAATTTTTGGGTAAGGCATGTCATTCATAGACAAGGTGCATGTTGCTCCCTGGTTTGGTTGTCAACGGTTCCTCCAAAATGTGACATGTGGCACTCAGTGTGGTGCCTTGTCGCTTGATCGAGCAAAATTTTTTGATTTTAAAAAAAATCTTATCTCTCTCATATAAGCTCTGTTTTTATGTTCTTTATCGTGTAGGTATTTCTGAGCACTACGACTTTCATTTAGACTTTGTCACCTAATTCTCACTCCTTTTTAAATGTTAACAGTCTATGAAAATTACATTGTAAAAGACCTTGTAAAATTCAAAACTTCTTCATCCGACTATCTTTATATCGACAAATTCCTATTCATGGGATCTTCAATTCTTGTTTACATTGTTTTGGCTAACAATCAACCAATTTTAATTTCAATTTTTGTATCCACACTGCTGCGTCGAAACTTTAAAAATCATAACTGCTTCATACGAAGTCAGATGTGAGTGTTATTTATATGTGCACTCTCTCCTTTATGATTACTATGACTGTCGTTTAGATTACTTAGGCTAATAAAAAACTCATATTTAACTCACTACTTACGAGACACTTTGCCATATTTAACCCATATTTCAGAGAAAGTCATATTTAAACGCTCCTTATATCCTCGAGATTTTCATCACAACTACTACAACAGTCATCAAGATTGTTTATCATGTATAATATTTTATTTTTTAACGTTATTTTACATAACTCATTAATTTTTACGATAATTTTTATAGAAATATTAAAAACCTGATATTTGTCCACAAAACATGTATGCAACATATAGATATTATTTATATAACTTGCATCACGTATGAATGATTATTAAATATATATGATTATCCTATTAATTATAAATAATTTTTATTTTTGATATTTTAATGTCCAACCTGAACTTATAGGAGTTACATCTTTCCTTGGAAAGTGTTTTTCAATGATGGATCTAGGTGAGGCAGCATATATTCTTGGTATAAAGATCCATATAGATAGATCAAAATGATTAATAGATTTGAGCCAAAGTATATACCTTGACAAAGTCTTAAAGAGGTTCAAGATAGAAAACTCTAAGAGAGGATATGTACCTATGGCACATGGCACAATTTTAAGTTCGTCTCAAATTCCTACCACCGAAGATGATCTAGAGAAAATGAGATGGGCTCCATATACTTTGGCTATTGAACCCATTATTTATGCCATGTATTGTACTAGACCTAATGTATCGTATTCTTTGAGCATGATTAACAAGTACTAATAAAATCTAGGAGAGAGTCATTGGATGGCTATGAAGAACATTTTTAAGACTTGCGGAGAACTATGGATATGTTCCTCATCTATGGAGGTATGGAAGAAGATCTAAGTGTAAAATGTTACACCGATTCTTCTTTGCAAACAGATCGAGATAATTGTAAGTCATAATCAAGATATGTCTTTATTATCAATGGGGATGCAGTACCATGGAAGAGTTCCAAGAAAAGTGTTGTAGTACAGTCCACTACAGAGTCTGAATATATTGTTGTTTCGGAAGCTACAAAAGAAGATGCTTCGATGAAAAAATCATTGGAGATCTATGGGTTGTTTGTTCCATTTAAGATCCTCTAGATATATTTTATGGTAATGAGGGTGTTTTTGCTTTGGCTAAAGAATGCATATCACATCAAAAGACTAGGCATATTAACCAAAGGTTGAACTACATTTGAGATGATCTGAAGTGGTGAAATTAGTATTTTTAAAGTACATACGAATTAAAAGTTGGTGGACCCATTCATTAAGCCTCTCCATCAAGCTAAACATGAAGGTCACCCAAAAGGAACAGGACTTCACAATTCTGGTGATTAGATTTATCTATGTTTTGGTATTGAATGTTGGGACATTATGAAACATAAACTATTATAATGATTGTGATTTATATGGAATATGATCTTTTCATTAAATACTTGTTGTGTTCTATATTAACATGTTTAATTCTTGAGAAATTTAGTCACTCTAAAATCCATAGTCGGTCATTATTGTGGGAGAGGTAATGAATTAAGACTAATAATTGGATTGGTTAACAAAGCTTTGTAACTAGGTTCATGGGTACTTTCTAGAGAACAAGTATTGCATATGATCTATTCAATATCACTTTAAGGATAATTATCATGAATGATACGTGAAAAAGATAATATCTTTGTATCCTTACTACCTAAGATGCATATTTGGCATTGAAGTATGGGGAATGTTATACTTTAATGTAGTCAAATAATGTTCTTTGACCAGATATTTATAAAGCCTATTATTAGGTGTAATATGAACCATACAAGAGGCGTATGTAAGCGAGAAGGAATTTTTTTCTTTTATGTGTTGAGAGTTATACATATAAGGCGTCATATCAAAAATTGATCACCAAATGAGATATATTAAGATTTGTATCTCATGTTTAACATGATGTATGTAGCAAAGGAATAACTAATAATTTACCTTATACATAAATTGTATCTTTTAGATTTTCTGAATTGGATATTGATGAAGGGAACGTCATGTGTGTTATTACAAAGGTAAAGTGTTTCTAGATGTTCATCAATGTCTATATTAATTCATAAGGAAACTTATGAAAGTGGGATATTGAAAGATCTTTATTCACAAGTATCATGATGAAATGATATTTTCTATTAACATATTATCTTATAGGGTCACAGCTTAAACAAGTAAACACTAATTGATTATTTATTAAGTAATAAGATTATTACTAAATACCATCAACACTTGTATTTAATTGGGGAATTAGTGTTTTATGAAAACAACAATAAAAGAGAGAATAATTACTTATTTATATCATATGGTATGGTTAAATAAGTTGTGTACAATATTTTGGACTTATAGAAGACCACTAGTATATTTCATAAGAAAAAGCGTTTAATACTTCTTACTTTTTCTCACTTCTAAACCGTCCATACCCACATGGGTATGAGTCAGTTGCTTCCTTTGACTTCTCTTCATAGGATTATTAGATTCTATAAGAAGGAAACAATGAATCAAATTTGATATTAAATAAACACAAGATGTAATAAGATGTGAGTTTCTGTAGAGAGTAAAACCACTCGATTACAATGTTGTAAGAACGGTTTCAAAAGGGACTCCCTTTCTATCTCTAACTAAGTGCCCTTACATATATGACAACCTAGAAAGTATTTCACTGACCATCGTTAATATGTAAAGATAGAACGTGAAAATGTAATAAGTACAACCTTGTAACCACCTGGTATATTTAATATATTCGAATTTTCATCCTTATTTAGGTTAACCATTAGGCTAAAAAAACGTGCACAAAAAGTCACATCACCTTGAGGACATTTGGATTGGATGCATAGACAAGGATTGTATACTCATAGATTTCTTTTAGAGGCATATTGGTTTGAGGATTTCTGGCTTAACAACATCTACGTATGAGAATTTATGGCTTAACGAGACCTACAGTCGTGGACTTTCTAGCTTAAGAACCACTATTCGTGATTTACGACATAGTAAGGAGACTCAGCAGTTCCGGTTACTATCTATTACGTAATTATAATTGAATATTATATTGTATTTAGTTGATCTTCAAATATCTCATAAACATCTTTCATGTTTGATGTCTTATGCAGGTTTACCCGAGAGTATGGCAGGCGCAAGATCATGGAGTTCAACTTCATTTGCAGAGCAGGAACATGCAATACATGGTGCTTCTGATCCTATCGACACACCATCACTGATCTTGACTTTTGAGAAGGATCCAATGGAGGAAAATGATGCCACTAAGCCCGACTATACTCCAGCTAAGCACCTGTCCAATCCAGTTCGTTCACCAGACTACTCACCAGCTGGACTTGAGCTTTTCAGTTCTCATTATGAGTTGGACGAGGACAAGGAGGACACTGCTACCTCGTTGGAGATCTTACCATGCTGCTCCACTCTTTCACATCGATCCTTCAGATCATACTGGGACTCGGGTGAAACAAACCCCAATAAAGACTGTTGTTCCCTCTCAAAAGAGACCGACATCCCCACTTGCATCACCACTGCCATTGAAGAGACTATGTGGATGCCTTAAATTAGAGCTTAGATGCATGAGGAGGATATCAACTCATGCTTCAAGGTAGGGGAGTTCTCTACAACTCCTACCCCTACCCCAGACACTCTGGTCGAGCAGGCTATCTCGCTCTTGGTACCACGGATCGCCCGTCACTAGGATAACACAACAATGATGGACTCCGAACTCTTTCTTTTGAGGATGGCCCTGAGGTATCTCACAAAGATGTTAAAATATCTAAAGGAGAAGAGATATGTGATGGAGATGAGGACCCTGCTCATTCAGGAACGGTTGAAGGAGGCGAGTAATGAGGCTCAGTTTCATCATCAGGTGTTGGAGGAAGTGATCAGTCACACAGACAGGTTGGAGCTCCATGTGGAGAGGGTGGAGTCACACGTTTCCTTTTCAGATGTTTAGATCATTATATGTATTGATAGTTAGTTTAGTTGATGGGTCTTCGAAATTGTGTACTCTGGATACTAGTTTTTCTTTCCATCTCCCTACCATGATGGCTAGGATGAACACACTTATATTTTTTGGGTTAGAGTAATAGAAAAGCTCACTAAACATACACGTTTGTTTTGTAACCTTGGATCTTTTCGGACTCTAACCACCCTTTGTTTTGGTGGCCTCATTATATGATAATATGGTCTGTGATATACTTATGGTTGCATAATTTCTATGTTGTTGTGTTAATTTTTCTATTGCTTCAATTAACAATAACAATAACATACCAATACATAACCATCACCATGAGGATAGGAACTTACTAATTGTGACCAAGTAACTCACATCGCAACACTAACTTTAGGAATTTAGAGATGGTGCCCCTAATAATTACCATATCTAGCCAAGGTCTTCAAGTAGAGCAAGATGCCAAGTCTAGTCAAGTAACCCACCTTTAGACTATGCGGACATCGAAGCCATGGTTGAGCAGAGAATAGCTAATGCTTTAGTAACACTAGTAAGCAATCGCCACACAAACTCTTGGATATGAGTAGGAGGTGAAAGCTCCCAAGTAAACCCTCAAGGTGATCTAAGGGCATAAACCTACAAGGACTTTGCAAACTGAAAGCCTAAAACGTTCTATGGGAAAGAAGGACTCGTAGGCCTCACGAGATGGATCGAGAAGAATGAGTCTATCTTCGAAATCAATTCTTGTGCGGAATCATACAAAGTAAAGTTTTCCAAATGCATTTTTGCGAATATGACCATGTCTTGGTGGAATAGCCACATCAAGACACTAGGCCTCGCCAATTCTAATGCTTTATCTTAGGAGCAACTCAAGCAAATGATCATCGAGGAATATTTTTCCTGGGAGGAAATGCAACATTTATAGAAATAGTTGTGGAACTTGACAATGCGTAACGCCAAAATCTCAACCTACATCAACAGGTTCAATGATCTTGCGATCCTTTCTCCAAAATTTGTTAATCCCGAGTACAAGAAGGTGGAAAGGTACATATAGGGATTGGTCAAACCCATCCAAGGGTTGGTCACACCATCTCTAGCATCAACATATGATAATTCCAAGAGGTTAGTGAACAACCTAACCAAACAAGAGATAAGATGAGGAATCTAATTATATAATATTTATTAATATATAAATATTATATATTTAATAATATATAATAATGCAGTAAAAAATGATTAATCCAATAAAAAGAAATTAAAAAGGAATTAATTAAAAGAACTATAGTATATTAATTAAATAAAATTAAAAAGAAGAGATGCAGAAATGGTCTTTGTAGCTTAGTTGTACAAAATAGTCGTTAGGGTAAAATTATCATTTTAAAAAAGTTAACAGTCAAACTGTTAAAGTTAACATTTTGAACCAAAAATGCATAAGTTATCCAAAATTAGACCACAAATGCACCACAAAACACTTTTGGACAAAAACCACACAATTTTAACAATCATAAAGACAACTTTTGAAATTTTGTAAGGACCAAATTATCCTTTCATTAAGGGGCTAAAACTAATGGTGTTAGTAAAAAGTATCATTCTTGGATGTTCTGGAAATCAAATGGACCATGTTCGTCAACAAAATTTAGCAAGAATGAACTTTGTGATCTTTAGTAAACTATAAGGATCATCTATATAATTTTATCTTATTTTAATGGAATGTAATTGTAATATAGCTATAAAAAAAATTTAATCCTAAGAAATCCATGATTTTAATTCCAACGTATCTTTCTTGTGGTAAAAGTAAAACTAACCGAATGTTTCTATTATAATCTCCTTTAGGCTTAATGAACTTTTATTATGTTTAATTGTTGGATAAGAAGTTCTATAAATACATACATATATATATATATATATATATATATATATATATATATATATATATATATATATATATATATATATATATATATATATATAATTAGTTTATAACCCATAGAAATCATGGTTATAAAATTAATTAATCTTTTATAGTAAAAACTTAGAATTATTAATCAATTATTTTAAATAAATTATTAGTTAAGAGATATTTTTATTAGTTATGTGAAATTATAATCATTGATTCAAATAAATTTATAAAGATAATTTTTAATATATATTAGACATTTTTTATTTGAGAAATAATGAAAAGAATAATATAAAAATTAAAATTTAAAATAGAGAATAAATAGATTTGATAAATAGCATTACATTAAATAGAATGTCTAATAAATTTAAAATGAAAAACTAATAGATATATTAATTAATAGGTCTAATATAATGATACATAACAAAATAGATACTCTTTTATTATTTTGGAACTTTTATGAGTTTAGAGATAATATGGAATAGAGATAAGAATACCACATGATAATTTTTCATAGCTCATATTTATGTTAATTCATCCCATAACTACCTTGAGGACAATGTCCGTATTTCTAATTCTATTTTCATTTTGTAAAATTCTTGATGCATGCAATATTACTCAATAAATCAACATTCCTAATTTATTTTCAATAGTTGAACATATTTTTTTTCTATGCGGGTCAACAAGCTGGAAGATGTTGTGGTCTCCTTTCTAGGTGAAATTAACTCTAAATTATTTGGAACATATTTCTCTAAAATGATTGAATAGTAAAGTATGCTTCTATTTTATGTTGTGTCTTATGTTTGAATGCCCAAAATAAATAACGCTAACAACCGTCTTATGAGATTTGTAAACATTTGTTTACATAAACCTCCATGGCTCGTGGTTAGCAAAACCCTTACACGCGCTAACAACCGTCTTATGAGATTTGTAAACATTTGTTTACATAAACCTCCATGGCTCGTGGTTAGCAAAACCCTTACACGTCCCTAGTGAGATATATATATATATATATATATATATATATATATATATATATATATATATATATATATATATATATATATATATATATATATATATATATATATATATACCTATTTTTTTAATTACAAATGAATTTGGATTTTCATGTTTTATAATAATGTTAATAACTTTTATTTGATTTATAGATAATTATAATCATGCTATTTTATAATTTATTAGTATTATTATTAATATTTATGACACCTTTAAATAATATATAAAATGGTTGGTGTCGTGGAGTGAGGATCACTTTTGAGCTATGAATGCATGATACTGCAGTGATGTAGACGTAATTACAAAACTGATGTGGCATATTTGAATTACTAATTGGCATCCGATGTAGATGATTTTAGTGGCGAGGTTAGCTAAAAAGACATTTCATTTTAAACTATAGACATATTGCTCAGTATTTTAATTATTTTTTATCGGTTGAAATTGCATTATTTTATGAAAAAACTAGTTATGAATAGTTAATCATAAGTTGAGTTTAATATATGATGTTCATTAAATGTCTATTTAGCAACTCCCTTTAATGGTTTTAATTAAACTATTAGTGGTTTTTAACCATGTTGTTAAGATCCCCTTATTAATCTTAAGATCTTATATTTTTACGATTCTGTAAGCCAAAAATGATCCCAATCTTACTAGGATCTAAATGAAGCAAGATTTATAGTGAGAAATTAGGATCCCGGCTAGGATCTTAAGATCTTAACATAATCCGATCTTACATTTCTAGTTTTATTATATGGCCAAACGTGGAAAAATTTTCTATTCAACTTAAAATCAAGCATCACAAGTTGTGAAAAGCCTTATAGAGCATCATCGCTTCATCGATTCTTCATGAATTATGTAGGTTAAACTCTTGATATTTCATTTGAGATCTTAATCCTTTAGTTGTAGATCATATTGATTTTTTTTTCTTTTTGTAATAAGATATTTGATTCGTAATTTTTATGGTTTGCAACGACAAAAATTATGGTTCATGCTTAAATGTTAAAGTTGACTTCACATCAACATATTAATCAATATCAAGTAATAATATATATTGCACACCCAAGACCTTACAAGCAAATTTGAATATAAGTTCATTTTTTAGGATCTTTTGATCTCATTCCAATCTTACAATCACGATCTTGCAACACATAAAACGATATTAGGTATAATATCGATCTTAATAGTCTTGATTTTTGCTAGTGTATTTATCAAGGTTCTAAAAAGCTCGACATGGATTCAATGCTTATATTTGCCACCAAGCTTTAACAAAATAGTGTCTTACATTATTGTAACATCCCCTTATGGCATGTATCATAATATTGTCCGCTTTGGGTTCCCGACACGAAAACTTCCCATAGGATCACACATCCTTGAATTGCTCTCGCTTGGGCACACTTAACTATATAGTTCTTGTGGGTGATGCATGCAAATAGCTAAACCTAATTTTATATTTATAACCTAACTAACTTAACTAATTAAATTACACCTAGGCAGTGTACCTAGTCAAATTATAGAATAGTCGGGTAAGTCAGGTGTCGACCATAGGGAACGATTTTGACTAATTAATCTATCTACTACTAAATTAACCTAATTACTAATAAAGAAAGGTGATTTATCTAATTTTGCAAGTTTAGATAAACTTAATTCTTTAACACAATGTCAATAAGTAAACAAAACACTTCTGTTAATC